GAAGAAGGTACAGCCTAGAAAGGTGGTATGAAATAAAGTTCCCCCTCCCCCCCTTATTTCTCTCTCTCTCTTCCCCCCATCCATCCATCTCTCTCTCTCTACACTCCCATCCTCCCTCTTTTTCATCTCCTTCTATCTGTAGATCCATGTCCCTTCTCTCTCTCTCTCTCTCTGGTGCGCGTTCACAACACTAACCTTGGCTCGACGTCAGAGCCTGTGCAGCAGTGCAGTATAATGGGAGCGCAAGCAACCCAGAGCGCCTCATAGGGGGCTGCATATCGCTGCTGTATCCTCTGCTTGGCGCTCTCTAGCCCCTCTCCAACCCTCTCAAGTACCTCACCTTATAGCCCATGCTTGGGCTCCCCCCTCCTCACTGGATCCGTACCCTTCGATATGGATGTCCCGCTGTCCCTCGACCCGGAGGATTGTTGTTTCTTGGCGCAGTGAAGGAGGACAAGGGGAAGGGGAAGGAATCATGCCGGGACTGCTAATGGATTTAGGGAAAGCGCAAGTGACCATGCCGTGATCTTGCGCATCCAGGGCCGCCGTCACCCTGCCTTGCCCAACGACCGTAGAAGAATTACGGGGGAATCGAACCCGTGCACCGGGTGGATTAAACCACTGTGCATTTTTTTATAAACAACATGAAGATTACCTCCCATCATCTGATGATAACCAGTCTCGTTTTCAGGTCCAACCTCAGGCTGATCCCGCTTCTGCTGCTGTTTCTTGGTTACTCTCGCGGGATGCCACACGTTTTAAGATTTGGTAAGAATCTTGTTTGTTTATGATACGATATCATCTGTAAGCGATGTCCAGTCTCACGCACCGCCTGTATGACCACGGCCAACTGACAGTTACCGGATGCAAAAGCAGATTTATGGACACATTTTGTCCCTCGTTTTGTAATGAATTGTGTAGAGTTGGCAGAACAGTATTACCTGCACTCCAATGAATCATTTGTTCATGAATAGTTTACAGTTGTGTCTTTTACAATCTCTGTTTCTTACCTCTAGTTTGGGTGCTTTTTGTTTTTTACCGAGTGCATCACCATCAGGGATGAATGGTGTTTTTCCGTGAACCTTGAAACCGGTGTTACAGTAACTTTGAAAGAACCGGTAAAAGGAGCCCTCCTATGCAACAGTTCACAGATATGGGCAGCTGATGAAACTCAACAAAAACACATCTCCTCAGTATCCTCTCCTGTATCTCCCACGGCCCTTTTAAACTGCTCACACCCCGACATGTCCTCTGCAGTAAATGTTAACATGTAAACATTGCCCCTCCGAGTGCGGATCAATCACTCTGATCTGTCACAAAGGGCCAGTCAATACCCCGGGCACTGCTTTCCATCCCCTAATCCCACTGAACTACTATCCAATGGGAATTCACGTTTGTCTCATTGACACCGTTATTGGCTTTAAATTAAAACTGATAGTTCCGGGTGCACGGTGGCTGGCTGAGTCATGTTACACAAAGCTACACAAGTGAGACCACACAACAGTTTAAATGCACCAACCGACTCATCTCTCATACTGATGGTACTCAAGTGAAGCTCATTAGCCTAAAAACTGATTAGCCACTCCTCCTGAAGAACCACAGAACATCTCCTGACAGAAGAATGATAGAATGAATGTTGATTATCAGAGCACTTCTTCAATAGTTGCCACTACAGCGCGTTGTTGTTGATTTATAACTTTAAAACTGCGCTATAAACGCCTGTATTCCTCTGGGTGGCTGTGTTTTCTGCTCTCTGTTGAATGTACAGAGAACATCTTGGAGTGACAGGGGAGCACCCCTCCCCCCCAACCCTCCCCACCCCGAGAGCGGATGTCATCAAGTGTTGACAACACATCCTTACAATCCCCAATTCCCCCGAGGGTCCTGTTTAAGAGTCAGGCTGCGTCCAAGAGCTGGCGCTATGGCAACGGGATGTGCTTGTCTTCCTGCTGCATCCACAACCCCGAAGAGCGATTTCCCGTCTCACACGTTGTCTGACAGACGCCGGGCGTCTACTCGGCAATCCTTTTGGGTGGGTGGGGGGCTGCAAAAGTCCCTGCACGATAGTATTTGACACTAAAGTTAGCACCCCGGCAAATAATGAGTGAAATCCTGGGAGAAACAGTGCGGGATTTATCGATAGGATATTGTTAATTCTTGCAATTGATATCGCGGGGTTGTGTGTTTTTTTTAATATTTTGGTAGTGTCCGGCTGTAGATTTGGAGTCACTGTTGTCTCGCCATACCCAACATGTCGCCTATTCTAAAACGCTGGATCTGCAAGGCATCTGGCATCAGTAGCACGACAGACATAACCGTGCAAGATAAGGAGGTGATTCCTGTCACTGAGGTGTTTAGCTCGGAGGTAAAGCTCTTGCCTGCGGGGCTGGTGGTCGTGATACGGGTCTCTGTCCGTGGTCCTGCAGGCAGCCAAGGCATGGAGCTGGCTGTTCAGGACCACGGACAGAGACCCGGTCTATTGGCCTGTTGCAGGGAGCACAACGATCAGTGCCTTCTGCAAAAGCTTTAGTCTCTACAGCATCGTCTCTGTCAGTCTTGGGGCATCCACTTCACATCTCTCCGTTGTAACATGGCTCCGTTTCGTGTAGTGTAATTCATTCCCTTTAGAAGCGATGATATGCGTATCTGCCTGTGTTTGCTTGTAAAGGAGCTGAGTTTCTAACAGAGCCAGATAGACGATGACAGAGTTGTGTGTGCGTGTGTGTGGGTGATTTTTATCAAAAACTAGAAAATGTATGCCAGCGTGTGTAAGTGCGTGTGCGAGAGAGAAGAAATACAAAATTGCCTGGAGAGACAATGGAGCCTATTCGTTCCCACTTTCATGTGCATTTCCTGTCCTGCAGGATGTGCTTGCTCAGCAGATAATCCCAGCTGCTCCTGCAGGAGGCTGGCTAAGTGAGGAGGTCAGCTCCCCTGGGTCTGTCTGTTCCCTTCCTGCCCCAAGTTCCATTTTGCCCAGACAGGCGGCTCACATTGTACAACCACTGTTCTCCTGTCAGGCTGAGACCTTTACAAACACACACACACACACACACACACACACACACACAGTGTAACACCAAAGCATAGTCAGCCCTTTGTATTCACAGCATCAGTCTCACCATGTAGAGCGACAAGTGTCCGAGAGAAAAAAACAAGTGTTCTGGCCACCAGCTGCAGGCAAATATGCTGAGCTAATTTCCACACAGAATTGAATTATTGTGTTCAGTGTTCCTCGTTTATAAATCTTACAAGTAATTCATTTACTTTGATACTGAAATGGACCCGCTGCAGCCCTTACAAGGTGGAATAAAATACGCTTGAGAGAAGATTCTCGTTTTATAACAAGTTCACAGTAGCCTTTTGAGAGCAGAGAATGAGAACTTGTAGCTACTGATACCGCTAAGGGTCTCAGAGAAACAGAACAAAATGTTGTTTTTTCAATTGCCACTTCGGTTTTCTCTCCACTTCTATTCTTAAATTGTGGGCTAACGCAAAAGCTGTAAAAGCTCCACTTTAAACATGCAATGAACTCTCAACGCTTAGTGTTTTGGCACAAAACAGAACTTGTTATTGAATTTGCAAGTTGAATTATGGTTGACTCACTTGCTAACATTTTCCCTTTTTAAATTTTAAGATATTCAAATTGGAGAAACATCTGACCTTCCTGAAATAATTTGAATACTGTAGTATTTTAAGATGCTTCTACTGTCAAAGTTCAACCTTCGCATTTGTCATAGATGAGCAGTTAGAGTTCAGTGAGGTGGAAATTCAGTCTATATATCATTATGTGTCAGCCAACTGGAGGGCTACAATTAAAGGAGCTCAGATTACATTCTTCCATGGAAATAGCGCTATATGTGCGTGATCTTATTTAGCGTAACAAATGTTCCGTTATACAAACAATGAGTCATCACATCTGCCGTTCCATCAGAGCTAATTGAGTTTTACTTACAGACATGTGTCTAACTCATAAAACCGCCTCAGGAAGAAGTTGAAACTGAAGAAAAATCAACAATGAAATGGAGACAGTTCTTTAATTCTGATGACTGTAGTTGGTCTGCGGCTGTGAGGTTGAGTGATAACATTATCGCCGCCATCTTCAAACAGCACTGGCAGATGCAGAATGTCCCTGGGCTGTCAACTGCTGCTGAAAGCATTGTTGACTCAGAGATGCTCATTTTGTTTGTTTATTTGCTGTTTATGTTTAGATTTTCCCAGTACAGACATGTCTGGGATTATTTATGACTAAAACACAACATTGCTTTTCATTTTGGAAAGGAAATCAAGTTGTTTTTTTTTTTTTTTCAGTCCTCTGACAAAAGACACAATTTCCCTCTGGTGAACGCTATGTTTATCTAACTACTTCCACAATGCTGTGCCGGGATAAAGGTCCTTTATTGCGTTTCTAAAATTTAACACTCTTTTCATCCCCTTGACTGTGTTATGGTGGCGAAATTACAAGGTTGTCAAGAACAAGCAAGGGTAGAGAGAACAAATTCAAGGGGAGTTTGTAGTTAATTGACTTTATTTGCTTTTGCTTTCCGCCAGCTTGAATTATCAGCGTGCTGGAGTTTAGTTTGGGATTGCAGGAATTACGGATAACACCCTGTGCCCTGGCCCACTGCCAGCACGTTCACAGCAAACACATTTAAATAGGCACAAAGCTGCTTAAAATATTCATGTGTCACTTGGCCCCGCTATAGCTTATAGAAATATGAAACTATCTCCTCTCTGCTGGCAAATGATTTCCACGGTTTAAAAATACCCACCGTGGGTTTCAAGAACAAAAAGGAGATCTGTCTTACATTAGCATGCAGCACCACACATGAGCTTCAAGCAGGGAACTATCTAGATGGATTTTTTTTAAATCATGTTTACATTCCTGAGTCTTTGAAGGTCTTGCTGTCATGCCTCAGTTACAAAAGGGCTCAATGGTGATTAATTCAGGCTACAGATTTCTTGTCATTTTCAAGTGGAAAATATCTGTGAGGTATGAAATTAGTTTTCCTGTGCTCAGCATTTAGTCATTTTTTTAGATTTGCCAGCTATATTCCAAAAGTATTTACACGAAGGAGGCTTAGATGATTGACCTCGTTCGCAGGGTAGCCAGTTGTAGCGTAACCGCGTCTTTTGACACATTCTCCAGTTTTCAAAATCAAATAGAGTCCTATATTCTTCTACTGCCTCGTGGAAAGCTTGCCTTCTGAATTGGCATTCATTATTCACAGCCTATCACTCTTTGTCGTTGTCACTCAAGGATTTCCCTGGGTATCAGAAAGAGTTAGGGGTTATATGTGCAATTGTTCTGTGAAACTGTCCCTCGAGAAGAGCCCTGCAGCATGTCTTGCTGCCTGGTTGTCTGTCTCAGAGCTGGCTGAAGGTCAGAGATGAAAACGCTCACAAAGAATCTTTTTTTGTTGTTGCATCCTTTAACACATGTTGAGCTGTCCTCCTCACAATCCCACCAAGGGAGACGGGAGAAAATTTGAAGTCACTGAGAGGTGTAAGAAAAACAAGAGTGTTAGTTAGAGAGGAAAAAAGCAAGAGAGGGAGTCTGTGTAAAGTGTGAGCAGGAAAAAAAAGTCAAGTGAGTGTCGAGGCCAGCAGATACAGAGTAAAGATAGATTAGTTTGCCTCTGAGCAGTCCACTCTCAGCCCACTCTCAGTTGTGTTTTTTTTTTTTTTTGTATTACTGTTTTCTGATGGCTTCTGTGAAGAGAGACAGAAAGGACAGTAGAGAATGCAGTGGAAATACAGTGGGAGAC